GGTCCGGGTGGGTGGGTGGGCCGCCCGGCCTGTGAGGAGGGGGGCGGGGGTTCTGGGGCTCCGGCCGGCCCTCCCCTGCCCGCTTCCTGCCTCGGCCCCTCCCGATCTTCCCTCTCTGGCCTCAGGGATGTACTCCTGCCCCTGCTACTACTGCCCCAACCGGGCCGGCGCCTCCGGGCGGCCCTCCTTCGTCATCGGCATCGACCTGCGGTCCGGAGCCACGCCTTCCGACCACTGGATCAAACGGGGCACCGCTCTGCTGATGAGCCTGGACACCTGAACGCCAGACGCCTCCCCAGCCCCCCAGCCCCACCCCCCCACAGAACTTCTCCCTTCCTCCCCGTTAGGTAAAATTTAAATAAAGCTATTTTGTTTACTGTTCTCTGGGCGTTGACAAGATGTGTACGTCACACTGCAAACCTGCGGCACGGGCCTGGGCTGTGATCACCTTTGTGCTGTCTTGGGGGGGGTCGGGGTGCAAGTTTGTCACTCTCTCCTTTTCTCCCCCTCCCGGAATACCGGAGCCAGGGGGTAACCCTATGAAACTGGCAAAAGGAAGTAATTCGGGGGTTGAATTGCAGGCTCTAATCTGGGAGAACCAGGTATGGGCAAAAGGAAGTAATTCGGGGGTTGAATTGCAGGCTCTAATCTGGGAGAACCAGGTATGATTCCCCACTCCTCCACTTGCAGCTGCTGGATGACCTTGGGCAAGCCATAGTTCACTCAGAGCTGTTCTCTCAAGGGCAGTTCTCGGGAGAGCTCTCTCAGCCCCACCTACCTCAGAAGGTGCCTGTTGTGGGGAGGGGAAGGGAAAGGAGTTTGTAAGCCGCTCTGAGACTCCTTCGGGTAGTGAAGGGCGGGGTATAAATCCAATCTCTTCTTCTTGTTGTTTGTTTCCTATATAGCCCACCATTCTCACAGACTGCATATATATTTACTTCGTTTATATCCCACCCTTCCCCCGACTGGGGACCCAAGGCGGGTTACATCATTCCCTCCCCCTCCCTTTTCTCCTCACAACAACTCTGCAAGGTAGGTCAGGGGGGGAGTGTGTGACCAGCCCAAGGTCACCCGGCCAGCTTCCGTGGCAGAGTGGGGATTTGAACCTGGCTCTCCCGGATCCTGGTCCAGCACTCTAACCACTGCACCGCGCTGGCTAATACACAAAATACTTTTTTTTAAAAAAAGCAGACCAAGGGAACTTTGACTCTTAAAAACTTATACCCCAAAAATCTCGTTGGTCTCTTAAGGTGCTGCTGGAGTTGAATCTAGCGTGTCTGGTAACAGTGAGAGCAAAGGCCACTCTGCCGCGCAACCCCCCCCCCCGGGCCGCCGGGGCCCAGAGAAAATGCATCAATCAGTTTGCTCTGGAGCCCTCCTCCCTGAGTGGAGACAAAAATGTGTGAGCGGGAGGCTAAAAATACTGTGAGCTAGCTCACACGAACTCGGCTTAGAGGGAACACTGCACTGGAGCCCTCCTTCCGGAGCTGAGGCAAAAATGTGTGAGCCGGAGGCTAAAAATACTGTGAGCTAGCTCACACTGACTCAGCTGAGAGGGAACACTGCACTGGAGCCCTCCTTCCGGAGCTGAGGCAAAAATGTGTGAGCCGGAGGCTAAAAATACTGTGAGCTGGCTCACACTCACTCCGCTGAG